GTGGGGAGGCCTCCACCTTGACTGTGAACAGTGGGGTTTGTGTTCATGCGGGGGAAGAATCAGTTTTAAAAATACAAAATAAAGTGAATTCAGTGTAAACAAAAAGGGGGCCGAATCACAAGCCCGGAGCAACAGCCCTTTATTCAGACAGACTGGACGACCCGGCCCCACGCAGCTCAGCACCGCCCGGGAACCCCGAGGGCTGCCCCAGTGTTCCCCTGTGGTTTGTGTCACACGCACACAAGAGGAAACCACACACACTACCTCCGTGGCAGCTGGGAAGCGGAGAACCCATTCCCAGGGGGCGCTAGGTTCGCACTTCTTTGTGAAGTGAGCCTCAGAGCCGTGTTTACGGGAACAGATGCAGTCTTTGGGTCCTCTGTAAGGAGAGCCTCGCCAGGACGTGCCGAGGTGTCTTGCTGGGTGCTGACAGGAGGACTGGAGGTCAGTGCAAGACCTAAGAGTGATTTTTGCCTGCGCTCAGCTCTTCCACAGCCCGGGCAGCTGGGGAGCGCCCGTTGTGCTGTGTGCGCCGTTTCTCTGGGCAGGAACCTCACGGCCTGTTTCTGAGTCCACCCCATCTTCTGCCCCTGCTAGACACGGGCACCGACTCCAGGGACACCCGTTCTGCCAGGACACTGGAGACCTCGCTCGGTTCTGGAAACAGCCTGCCCCTTCCCACTGTGACCCAGAAGGTGGTCTTCGAACAGGACATTCACACGCTGGGCAGAGCTCTGCTCCCCGGGGGCAGGTGCAGAGACGAGGCTGAGGCAGGGAGCCCTGGGGTCTCCAGGCTCCCGACCACCGTCAAGGCGGGCAGAGCCCCGCAGGGTGCCCGCCACTCCGAGCCCCGCCAGGGTGTGAAGCACCATGTGCCCTCCAGCAAGACGAGGCAGGATTTCACCCGAAGGAACCACAGCCACCTATTTTAGGTGTCACCCTCAAGCCTGGAGAGCACCAGCCTCTACGTTCTAGAAGGTCCTGGAGAGAGAGGCCGAGCAGGGGAAGCGAGGCCCACGAGAGCAGGCAGGCCTCTCGGGACCTGAAGTCCTTCCCCAGGAGAAGGCAGGAGGCAGACACCGACAGTGGGACCGCGGCCCACAGGCCCCCTCCGCCTGCAGTCAGCCCCAGGCTTCAGCCTCACCCTTCCCCGAACTCGGCACAAACCAGCCATCAGAGCCGCCTTAACTGAGCCTAGCGAGCTCCCGTCCTCAGGGGGCCCGACACCACCCTCAGGGCCCAGCAGGTGCCCTACAGACGCTGTCAGTAAAAGCAGCCCGTCTGGGGGGCTCAGCTCCTGGCCCCCCGGTTGCAGGCCGAGCGCCCCAGACGCGAGTCTGACACAGGAATCCCACACACAAGGCCCGTCCACCTCTCCCGAGGGCTCCCGTGCAAAGCAGGCAACTTCAGAAGAGCTTGTCATTTTCTTCAAACAAAGCTCCCTAAATTTCCCGGCTTCGCTTCCGATGTACCTGACAGAGAAACTGGTGCCAAAAGACCTGAACGGCCTGCCCGGCACGTTGTCAAAGGCTTAGCGGGGCTCTCCACTCTCAAAACACAACGGAAGCCCAGCACCACTTCTTCCTGACGCAGGCTGCCAGTCACGACGTTGTGGAACAGAATTCTCACCGTGCAAAGCACAGGATTCCACCAGCCTGGAAGGAACCCTCTGGGATTCTCTGCTTCATGGCCCTGGGCCCCGGCCGCACATGGCAAACATCCCCTGCCCATTGCGGGGAGCCAGGAGTCCAGGCATGAGACGTCTCGCATGGCCCAGGCCGGGGCCTGTGCAAAGCCCCTCACTCGGGTCATCCAACTGGGGTACCAGGGCCGAGTGTCCCAATCTCGTCCACATTTTACAAACGGAGAAATTGACACCCAAAGAGCTTGGCCCACAGCCACATGCGCGATGAAGCGCACACGTTTTCTGGGGGGGGGGTGATCCTGCCTTGCCCACCGTGGGCAGTTCAAGCCCCGCATGTGGACGCATACGACGTGCTACTCAGGCGACGGCCGCTGGATGGCACAGGTGGTCCTTTTCTAGAACAGGACCCCGAGCACGGTGAGCTCTGTCCACAGGGGGCCGTTTGCGCAGGGAAGGCGCCCCCCAGGGTTGCAGGGAAAGGGCCCCGCCCCACACCTCCCCGGGGCTTCCTCTGGTCTCCTGTCTCTGGACGTGCCTGCATCCGTCCCCGGGTCCCTCCTCCAGCTCCCGGGCCTCAGGGCATCACGCGTGTGTCTACAGGTACCTGCCGTGTTCCTCGTTCTGGGCCCTCATCTGGAGGCTCCCGCCCAACACAGGGTTTGGGGCGGCTCTCTGGCGCGCCAGGCTTTGTTTCCCACATGGAGGGAAAGCTGTGACTAACAAACGGTGAGCCTTCAAGGACGATCAGGGTCAGAGCCCTCGCTCTGCTCTGGGCCCGGGGGCTGGAGGGTGAACTTAACGTTGGCTGTGGCTGCTGAGTGATGTTAAGCAAAGAGAAACTCAGGATGTATTTTAATAAACACCCAGGGGCTGGAGTGGTCAGTTCATCAAATTGGCCCCTCCTGCTGACGCTGACCTGTTGTGCAAAGTGTAAGCCATGAGCAGTTCGCCCGACCACTCCCATCCCGAAGGCGCCAGTGCTCAACGCAGGGCAGCATCTGCTCCCAGGGAGCCCGAGTTAGTCTGTCAGGACAGTCTTGTTTCAAGATTATTTCTTGGAGTTAAAAATTACCTGACTCATTTTTCTTTTATCAAGGAAGTGAATAAATGAAATAAGGCGTCTAGGGGTCTCTAGTTACAGAGCCATGACTCAGTATCTCTGAAACAATTTCTCTACAAACAGAAGAGTTAGAAAAACACCTCAGCTAAGAAGCGTGCACGCGCCTCGCGTGTAAGCAGCGCGACAGCGAGGAGATGCCTAGTCTGAGGGAGTTTATTGTTGCTCTTTTGCAGTAACAGATGAGGCGCGACTGTGCCCCGCTTCTCCAGCATCTCAGCAAGAAAGACAACAGGCAAGGACAACAGAGGAGTTAAAACACAGGAGCCCTAGGCCTGGGGGGCAGGTGGCTGCGCTCTGCGCGCAGGACCGCCGTGGACGGGCCGAGCCGAGCCTTCAGACCGCGCTCTCCTCCTCCAGTGACGAGGAGTCAGGGCGAGGGGAGCGGGCGCCTTCAGGGCCTTCTGAGTCACCCGCTCAGCCCGGACAGGAGGAGGGCGGGTCAGCTCTGAGCTGGGCGGGGACCCGGGCCCGGGGTCCGCCCCGCTTGACCGTCATGGCCTCTCATGACATGCCCGCGTCCAGGTCTGAACGCGAACCAGCAAACGTGTCTGACCACATGAGGGACAAACAGCGCGCACCGCCGGGAAGGGCTCAAACGCCTCCACCGGCCACGCCGCCCGCAGGGCCGCCCCCTCCACCAGGGCCCCGGAGAGCATTTCCAAGGCGGTGAGCAGTGCATGAGCCACCCAGAGCCCCGGCGGCGACAAGGGCCGCCCACACCGCCCTCCGCAGGGCGGCGACGGGGC